GGGGGGGAGAAAAAAAGAAGAAAAATTATAGACTACATTTTCTTGGCCTAAAATTAACTCTGTTAATTATTTTGATTGGTTAGATCTAAAGTAGTTAATAAATAATTTGACGGCACTGGTATTTATTGTTTCAAATTTAAAATAAAGATCAAAGGTGTAAATACAAAATGCATCCGGTACAGGTTCTATCTAAATGTACATGTACACATTTTGGTTGACGTTGACCGACCTGGGAAAGATGACGGGGGGTGTGTGTCATTTTAGCTGACGTCATTTGTGAACGGTCCCTAATTAATAAACACGATCAACCAACACCAACCCTCCTGTTGTGTATGTAACGAGAATTCGAGGAACTTTTGTCTTGGCTGGCTGTACGGCAGGCATTGGTCAAACTATTTTCACACCTCTGGCCTCTGGCTACCCAGGAAAGTTTCTGGGCAGGAGCGCCACTCGAGCACTTTCACCGACACTGGTGAGTGAGATTTTACGCCCACACCAAACTGACCATCTGCACCACTCAGGGCTCACGTGGATGGGGTATATATAATATCTATCCCATAGTCGCATCCCTACTCCCCTACCTCGCCTTGCGGCATGGCGTCAAGGTTACAGCTAATGGAACAATTTCTCTTTCCATTTACAGGTTGGGCAAGTTTGTGTTTTATAGAGGTGTCAGATATAGAGGCATTTTTCAAGGGGGGAGCTGGGAGATTTCGTTATGACAGTTATCCATCTTAGACAGGTTTCTGTTAAGGCAGGTGCAACTGTATATATATATGTATATAATATATAAATGTCTACTGTGAAATGAAAATGAAGCTCAGTAATTATAACAAAAATTTGATGAAGTGATACATAGGCCTACTTGTAAAATTTGCAAAAGGCAGAAATAAAATAATAAAGAGCACAGGATGTGTAAGTTTGTCAGATTTTTCCTCTGTATTACTGTATTATAAAAAATGTGAGAGGAGACTACTCATAGATCTCTCTCATATGTCAGTGTGTGCTTTCTCTCTCTGTATAACAGTTTTGTTTGATTATATAAAACATTTTTTATTTTGCATTTGTTTATTTCTTTTGGAAAAAAAATATATATAATAATTTTCAAATATATTAATATTATGCAGGAACCCGAGTACATGAACACTGTTTGTCATACAATAATAATATTTATAATTATAATACATAGAACATACACTGAAAATAGAACAAAGTAGGTCTGCCTAGAGCAAAG